GTGAACTACGGCTATGTGTAGTAAATTCTGCTCCATCTGAAAGCACGTGATGATGATTTTCTGCTGATTACAGAACCAGCATTACTATCAAAATGCGCATGACAATCACATTCGATTAATCGTGCAGCCCTAATATAAAATAATAAAAAATTAATACAATACCTGTGATTTTTATTAATAAGTGAATAAATATATAAATACATTTGAAAACGAACAACGGTGAGTCTGTAGAAGGAATATTTGAACACCTGAATAAACCTCTGTGACGGCTCTTACCCAGCGGATTGTCCTTCAGCAGGATCTCCAGCGATTTCTTCTCCTCCACTCCTCTGAAACCCACTTTCTCATAATACGCCGAGCGGAAGTTTCTCTGAGGATCATCAGCCATCTGCAACAGAAAACACCATGATTTACCCATACTGCTGATGACACTTTACCATAGGGCTGTGCAATATATCGAAATTATCGAAATATCGCAATATGCATATCGCTACAGCCTGCAATACTTGAGGCCATGAACAAAAGACAAAAAGAGGAAACCAAAGATGCCTAGCAGTACACACATCACAGGAATTAAGTTAGCTGCTATTTGCAATAGTTTAATTTAACAGTAATAATAATTTAATAATTGAATACTTTTATTGTTCATTTATGAGACACTTTGTTAGTAGCTTGTACCTGTGATTGTTGATGAGTTAGTACACTGTAAGAAAAATATGTAGAAAAATGGAAAAGGTGCTAGTAACTTTCCAGGACATTATCCATTATCCGTTGTAACACTGTAGCCCGAACACACAAAATACAATGCGTAATTAAAAATGCAGGTAAAAAAAAAACCTGTGGAAAAATCAATACAGAAAATTCCTTCATATTAACAGTAGATTGTGCACTATTTTTTACAGACTTTTCTTAGAGTGTAGCACACTGACTACTAATACACTGCTTTAAAGTATAATTGTTCAGAATGTGTAGTTTTACTTGTTTACTAGCTAATAATAAAAATGTTTTATTGTAATCGTTCATAAATGTGTGTTTTCGATAATTCAATGTATTTAAAAATAGTTATTTTTTATTTTAATATTATATTATGCAGTTACATTGCTACGAACAAATCTGAATTAACACTGTATATAAAATATGTGTTTTTGCTGAGATTTGACACTATTTTGCGTCGTGATTACGTAGTGACGTCATCGCGCAATGACATCACAACGTCATTTAGCAACAAATCAACCTTCCTTTAGCAACTTCCCCTGAAAACTAGTTGGCAACACTGCACAGAACTGACTCGGCAACAGCTGAGTAAAACTGTTTCATCTGAGCATGTGGCACTTTAAGCATTATCGTATCGCATTATTTAATGAGTTATCGCATATCTCTTCAATATCGCACAGCCCTACTTTACCATATGACTGTATTAAATAACACCTCAATACTGTTAGATCAGATCAGTGTCACAGTTTATTTAAAAACAACAAAGGTATCAAGTTAGTTAACTGCACACTATTGATTGACATATTCATATACCATGGTATTTTCATGGTACCTTTCCTTCCTTCAGAGAATACGTTACCATGATATAATATTATTGTATTTCCGTTACAGTTATAATAAATAATAATACATTAGAATTGAACACTTCCCTAATAAGTTAGATTATTCTAAATCGTAACATTCTCACAAAATACAAGTTACAACAGTTTAAGTTTATGGAAGATATACCTGCTGTGTTCATCATAAACAATGTTTTGAATATTTAAAAAATGACCGTTTATTTACCTCAGAGCGCAGATCTCAGCGGGCCTCCGCGGTTTTCCTCAGCCGAGAGACTCTTCAAACTATTTATCAATCAAACAGCTGACTGCAATTCATATTCAATACATAAATGCGGAATTATTACCTTTAATTCTTAAATGAAAGACTGCAGATGTGTTCGTCTGTAAACGCGGCTGTCTGCAGTCCTGCAGTGACCCCGGAAGTGATTCACGTCCTCGTGTTGTTGTACTTCTGCGCGAGTCCAGCAGCAGGCGCACGCGTGGTTCAGCTCCCATAGACATAATAAAAGACAGCCTTTAAAGCTTATTTAGAATATATAAAGTCTTAAAAAAATCATCATAAAGCCCAAAGAACTGTTTCTCTGCTAAATGAATTTAAAATATGCTTGTGATGCCCTTTTATTTTATTTTATTTTTTTTATTATTTTTCATTTTATTAAAATTGTCTGAATTTGTACTTACAATGTGTAAAAGTAAATATGAGAAATGTGTGAAGAACTTGCTGTTGAATTTTGTAATTTTGAAAGTTCAATAATAAAAATAAATAAATAAAATACATAATAAATCTATGTCCGCTCCAACAAGATTGGACAAATACATTTGCTTTCTTAACCCGCATAATGCATTCAAAATCTGAATTAAATTAATGACTGCTCAAACATTTGTGAGACCTACATGTTATATGTAGCTACATAGTTATGCTATTTTTAAAATACATCTCTTCCGGGTAAACTAACCTAATTGACCAATGCATTCAGATCGCCCTTTTTAAAGTCACATGGTTATTTTTTGCTACGTGAATACAACCATAGCAGTACGTGATTGATGTTATATGACCTCACACGCATCCATACACAATAAAACAACTTATCCTTGAGTTTTCAATGATTTTGTTAGAAGTCTGCAGGCTAGGAAAATATTTTTAGATCTTCATATTAACTGGTTCTACTTTTTTGTTGTTGACATAATTAATAACTACATTATTTTTCAATGCAAAGTACAAACATCGTTGATGTCAGCTTATTTATAGAGCTCAGACAGTAATGTTAAATCTGAACGCCCTTTACTTTGATTCATTATTTGAAATGATCAAACTAGCCAATATTTCAATTAATATTGGCAACTGCAGCATTTCAAAAATGGTAAGTAACACCAGTTAAATAACTACTGAGTGGTTGTGAGAGGATCTTGAATAGGGTTAATTATCTGCTGTTTTGTAAACAGTCTTTTGTTAGCTTGGAGCTGGTTAGCAGAGGTCAGTCAGGGTGCTAGTAAACACTTTTTGTTATCATTTGTTGTCTTTAATAATAATAATAATATATGATGTTAGTACTCGTGAAATAGCTTCACATCTTCATAATACAGGATCCTTATTTCTGCTTTAATGTGCATTTAAATATTTGGTTGTAATCACTAATAAAACTGAATGGAATTACAAGTATTAATGTTCAAAGTTCAAAAGTAAATATTATTAGATTAGATTGTTTTAGGCATGAAATAACTCTGCTTTAACACCTAAATATAAAATTTTATACATAAAATCAAACAAATAATGATTCTTCATACGAGTCATACATTTAATGAGGTCGTTCTTTATTTGAGCAATAAAACCGTAAGAAAAATGTCAGACACAGTGTTAGAGATCAACTTCACAAAGTAATTCAGGCTAGTACAAAGGTAAAGTGAAGGCACTGAAACTTTCAGGAAAAACTACAGCAATTCAACAGTATTAGTGTAAAAACAAATCAGGAAAGTTACATCTTTACCTAAAATCTAGTGTTATAAACAACTTTCATCTGTTTAATACAATTCAAAAGCAGATAAACCCCCATAATGTGAATAAGCAGGCAAAATTAAAAGTGTATTTTTTTTTTGTATTAATACATTCGATATAGATTTAAGGAACACTAAACGCTACTGGTTGTTCATTAGTTTTCCAAACAAGGAGGTTAAAAAAATGCTGATTCGTTTAGAACACAATCCACATTTCCAATAATAAATGTTACTGATCTTCTCATATTGTTATCTTAAAATACTTTGATGGATAATTGTGTTATATAACATTGCACAGTACAAAATGATTGTTTAAGAGAGCGATCTGGAGCTGAAAGAGGTTCTGCTGTAGCTAAAGCTGCTGTATCTGGAAGACGAAGAGGGGGATAAGCTGTAGTCTACACTACCCCTACGGGATCCGCTTCGAGAGCCCGAGGCAGATCCTGGATTCGAGAGGTTGTAAGGGCTGCTGATGCCACGGGATGAAACCGTGGAGGCGGGAAGCATGCATACACCCGTGTTCTCCTCGGTCATGCAACCTTCCAGAGCCTCCTTGTAGGATATCCTCAGCTTGGACTTGGGGCAGGTGAGGGTCTTGGGGTGGTGGCGCGTATCCTGGAGCCTCTGAGCCGCTCTCATGTCCAGCCAGCCGAGCTGCAAAGCCTCCTCGAGCGAACGTCTGCATCCAAGCTCTGGGTCGAACAGCCCGCCGGTTAAATACTGGAATTCGAGGAAGCGCTGGCCAGCTTCGTACGGCAGCCATTTTTCCTTGACGGCCTCGGCGGCTGACATCTTACGCTTGGTTTTCACGTCTTCGAAACCAATATACGCTTTCTGGGCAGGTTTTATCCTGTTGGCCATTTCGTCATCAAGGACACCAAGTCGGGTTGCTTCTTGAATAGAAATACGGCGACCGTTTTCAGGGCTCACAATCCCTCCGGTGCAAGCCTGAGCCTCCAGGAGTCGTTGCGCTGTGATGGAATCAATGATTCCTCGCTTCAAAGCGTCACATATGCTGATCTTCTCCAGCTTCTCGGTGTCAAAAACTGCTCCAACTGGATTCTGTTCCTCAATCGTTTCCACTAATGGGGTCAGTTTGATTGACATGCTGGAAATATGCTTGGCGGTGTTTGTTGAGGATGGATCTTGAATGGTTTCTTGAGTGGAGATACTCTCGACTGTTTTAACAGTTTCAGTTTTAATTATCTGGCTTTTCATTGATGTCTGGGATGTGAAAGATGATGAGGCGACAGAGGAGCTGAGCGGTTTGCTGAGGGTCTTTGTCTTGTTGGTGATCATATCTGCAAGCTCTGTAAGGGTGAGATTTCCTGAGCGATACTTATCAAGGACATCTTGGTCAATCACTCCCTTAGCTAGCAGTTCTTTCAAGTCATACTGAATGCCTGTTTGCATGTCCATTATAGCTGTACTGGTCGAGCCATCTGGGGCAGTGATGACTGTTTCTTCCCACTCGCACTCTTGCTGAGACAATTCTAAAAAGGTTTCGTAGTCTATGAATTTCTTCTCGTAGGCTTCACGCACCGTCATCTCTTTATTACTTTCAGGATCAACAATCAATACTCGTCTCTTCCTTGAGGAGTTCTTCTGCTGCATCTTTTTCTTATCATAAAGGGGCAGAAGCACTAGTCCCGTCTTCTTATCTGGAATGCAACGGCTTTTTAGCTGCAGGTAGGTCAGATTGTCCTCTGTGTTTGGGTCGAAGAAACCTTTTGTGTCATCTCCTTCATCTTTCAAAATCTGGTTCATCTCTTCATCAAAGTAGCTCCTTTGGTACGCCACATCAACATCAATTCGGTGACTGTGTTTAGGGTCAATGATGCCACCACTTGCAATCTGAGCCTCCAGCAGGCGAATGCCATGACCTTTCTCTATGAGACCACGTTCGATGGCTTCGAAAAGGGAGATCATCTTGTTGGTGCCTGGGTCTTTGTACCCAGTTACCGCTCTCTCTGCAGACAGAAGCTTGTCTTTGAACTCCACACCCACCAGTCCTTTCTTACAGGCCTCCTCGACTGTGTAGTACTCATTGTGGATGGGATCAATAATGAAGCCTGAGGCTGCCTGGGCTTCCAGAAGCTCCAAGGTAGTGCCTGGTCGCAGAAGCCCTTCCTTCATGGCCTGGTAGATGGGCAAGGCGCAGTCGTTGGCCTCGTCATAAATCCCAGAAATGCAGGTTGACCCTCGGAGATAAGCCCGAAGCCTGTGTTCAATATCTTGGCTGGTAATCTTGCCCTCTCTCAGATGATATACATCCGAAGGTTGCAGCAATTTCGCATCCACCAGATCTGACACGCTAACTTCATGGCGCAGTCCCTGTACAGTCATGGGTTTCTCTGGAGCTGGAAGCAGAAGCAAGCTAGTACTGAGGTCAGCCTTGCATCGCTTCTTGAGGGTAACGTAGCTGGCACGTAGACCAGTGTCGGGATCGATATAGCAATCAGGTCTGGCATTTAGAGCTTGATAAAGATCCTCATCAACAAGATCACGGTCCATGGCAGTATCTTTGGAAAGATAGACACTAAGGATGGGATCAAGGATGCCTCCCGCCGCCTCTTGTGCCTGCAGGAGACGCAGAGCTGTTTCTCGGTTAACTATTCCTTTCTTCATGGCTTGGCTTACTGGCAAGAGTTTACCAGTTTTGGGATCCCTGAACCCAATGCAGGCGGACTCTGCAGTCAACAGCTGCTTCTTGTCTGCTTCATCCACAAGTCCATTCAGACAAGCCTCCTCAACAGTCATCCTCACATTTGCTCTGGGATCTATGATGTACCCTGTGGCAGCTTGAGCCTCCAGCAACATGTTTCCACTCTCGTCTGAAATCAATTTTTGTTTTTTAGCCTCGGTGAAGGTCATTTTGCCTTTAGGTCCTTCTGCCAGCCCCGCAATGGCTCCTGTGCCTTTAAGATTGAGCCTGATGTCGACAGATACGTCCTCGACAGTCTGCTGGCCATTCATCAACTGCTCAAGTGTCACCTTGTCAATCACACCACAGTCATGCAGCTGCTGCGCTGTGACCTTCTTGCGGACACCTTCGAAGACCAGCGAGGAGGCGTCCGTTAGGTCTGTCTGAGTGTATTTGGTAGCACCATCTGGTTTCCACTGCAGTCTCAGCAACTCATTCTGCTGCAAGTCTCGAAGCGACTGCATCTCTGCCCTCTCTCGTTCCAAGTTCTGCAAGAGCAGCCTGTAGCGTTCTTCGGACTCCTTCAGTTGCATCCTCAGCCTCTCCATCTCGGCCTTGACAGAATTAAATTGGCTCTCCTGGCCGGAGCGCTCTGAGTTGTGCTTTCGAATCTGCTCTTCATGAGTCGCGCATTTTGTCTTCCATTGGGTAAAATCCTTCTTGATCCTCTCATTGTCCTCCTGCAGCTGTGATTTTAGTCGCAGTTCCGATTCCAGTGAGAGTTTGATACGGGATAGCTCGTCTTCCAGCTTTTTCAAGCGCATCATATCCTGTTCCATTGCAGCCA